TTAAGTTAATCATTAATCGAAGTGATATTGTTCCCTTATGATCATTAATGGATTCAAAGCAACAGAACAATGCCTTTACGTTATAATTCAGATCATCATACTATTTTGATTCATTGAAATTCAGCGCTTAATAGTTTGCTGACAAGGTGCATGGTTTAATTTATTCAAAGAGTTTATGATTCTGGGCTCATAATTCATCAGCGGATTGTTTTCTTCATGAATGGCTGGGAAACCAAAGCGTAAAACAGAGATGGAAAGGCTTTACTAACAGCTGATCCGTTTCGTTACGAAAACTGGTACATCATCAGGACTGAATAAATGATGCACAACCAGGCAGCTCCATATTCCTCGGTCCTAGTGATGTGGTGATGTTTCGATGCCGGTAACGAAATGCGTCGACTGTTAGTTAAACCTTTCCATCTGTGTTATACGTCTCTGGCCCTTAACCATGTATAAAGAAAACAATTTTTTTATTGCAGTGCATTACAAAAGAAAATTAAATCTCTGCATTTGCAGACGATGTAGCAACAAATCCTGAAAAGTGGCAATCGACATTGTGAATACTCCAGAATGCAGGTATTCAAGAATGTCTGGAGGATGAATTTCGGACCAGATTCAAATAATACTAGGTCAGCGGAAACCAGAGTAAATGATCCAAAACCTGATGAAGCTAGCAAACATTATTTTCATCTGAGACGACGTGTCTCATTAAATGAGATGAGTGAGTAAAAACAGCTTGAAGCGATTATGGGAAACTTCTACGAATCTTAAAGAAAAGACTCCAATCATTGTACGATGTTAATTCACACTTTCTGATCTGAAACATGAGAAAAAGATTGATCAGAAACTATTAAATAATCCACCTGGGAATCGGAGTTACCAGAGTCGTTCGCCGCCAGCTATCTCCAATTGCTATGACTAAAATAGGTCTGAATCTGAAGACTAAGTTGCCCGTGTTCAAGTCTATCTTTCGATATTCATTTCCATGCTCAGCTATGGACATAAATTATGGACATGACGGAAAAACTGCGATCTCGACACATGCAGCTGAAATGGGTTTTATAAAAGGATTCGCTGGATTCACAAGTCTAGACAGAGTCCGGTATTCAGATATTCGAAAGAGTCTTGGTGAACAGCCGCTGTTTCTCCCAGATTGGAAAGTCACAGCTCTAGTGGTTTGGATGCTTCTGGCGAATGCTTCCAGAATGAAATACAAGGCAGCGACTACTTACTCAACCGGCGAATTAAGACACCGGAGACGGCAAAGACTTCAGTGGACTCCGTCTTAACCTTCAGTTCTTTCAGCTGATGCTCAAATGCTGCCACGAGATAACGAACATTAGAGACGTCGAGCATCGCTGCTGCCAATACGACCCGAAAAAATAAGTAGCCATCGAGAAAGTCTGACTGAACTTCCCAGAAAGCGTCGAAGAATAATTCTCTATGCAGTGAATTACAAGAAAGGACAGGAGAAAAGACGATGTTGAAGAGAGTGACTTCGCTGCTAAACAATAACAGTGAAATAGAAATTTCTCTGAATCCGATAAGCCTCGTGAAGATGCAGTCAACGTTGGACCGTATAAGTCATAGATTGAATCAAAAAAATTAGAAACGACAAGTAGAAGGTAAAGGTAGGATGTTAAGATTAAATCGTTAAGACTGAAGGGATAATGCTGATGCGAAGAATAATCGATGAGCGATTTCTGAACAGAAGTGAAATGAAAAGGCGGGTAATGACAAATACGAAACGTAGTTAACAAGAACTTAATTTGGTCATAATAATAATTAACTACTTATGATATATTCCTTACTAACATGTGAATAAAGGGCAATAGAGCAGACTTTGTACAAACTTACCAAATATAAATGTAGCGGCAAACGACAGTGAACACTGAATTTAATCATTGAATAGTCAATATGCGCTGACAGCCCTAACAAGATGTAAACAATCTCTGACTTTAAACCGATCATACGTTCTTCAAGAATTTCTCATCATACTGATCTCTTTTTCATAAATATGAAAGAAAAAATCAGTTTAACATTGCAGAAGGGAATCAGTTTCATCAGAAAAACTGCAATCGGTGCTTCTCAGCTCGTTTGTTAAAATTAGATACCGGGCCCAAAAGTAATTCGACGCTGATACAATGGCATACTGAAGTTTATTGAATTAGTCAAAACATATATTAATCTAAATAAAACACGTATGAAAAGAGAACACTTAATCCTCTTAAGATGCAGCTCTTTCTACACAAATTCTGCTGGTATGTTGCCAATCTAATATTAGCTGGACCAGATATCTATGTTCGACTTGTTTTTCAGCTTAGATTGAAA